TTTTTCTATAATCATTGAAAAAAAAATGGAAAATCGGGGTAAACTAGATTAGATGTGGCAGGTCAATAGGATATATTCCAGTTGGAGGATAATTTACTAAAATTTGCCCCGTTTTTCCATAATTCCTTTAAAAAAATTAAAAAATCAGAGTAAAGATGGCATATGGGAACTACAGGTATTATCCACTTGTAGCATGAATTCTCAGAGTTTACCCTGTTTTTCTGGAATTAATTCACTAAAAAAATGGAAAATCAGGAAAGATTTGACATGACATGATAGGTTATATTCCACTTGCGGGAAGAATTCTAAGAAATTGTCCCGGTTCTCTAGAATTCACGAAAAAAATGGAAAATCTGAGCAAAGATGGCATTCGGGAACTGCACTTGTAGCATGAATTCTCAGAGTTTACCCTGTTTTTTTGGAATTAACTCGTTAAAAAATGGAAAATCGGGGCAAAGATTGGATATGACAACGTAGGATATATTCCACTTACGGTATGAATTCTCATAACTTACCCCGTTTTTCTGGAACTCATTGAAATAAAAATGGAAGATCGGGTTGAAGATTGGATATGGAAACTTAGAATGCATTCCACATACGGGATGAATTCTCAGAATTTACACCGTTTTTCTGGAATTAATAAGAAAAAAAACGGAAAATGAGGGATGTTCCGAGTTATAATTTATTCCAATTTTAAGATAAATGGACACAATTTAGCCCGTTTTCAGAATTCATTGAAAATTCATTTGGCATGTTGGGATATATTCTTTTTATTAGATGAATTTTTTTTTTCTAGAATTCTCTGAAAATAATGGAAAATCGGAATTGTCTGATTTTACCCCATTTTTACAGAATTCTTGGAAAAATGAAAAGAACCGGGACAAAGATTGAATATGACAAGTTAGGATGTATTCCATTGACAGGATGAATACTCAGATTTTACCCCGTTTCCAGAATTGACTCAACAAACGGAAAATCGAGGTAAAGATTGATTGATATGAAAAGCTAGGATGTATCCCACATGTGGAATTAATTGTCAGATTTTACCTTACTTGTCTCTAATAAACGAAAAAAAATGGAAAATTAGGCTAAAGATTTGATATGGTAGAATTAGAAACTCGGAGTAAAGATAGCATATGGGAGCTGAGGGTATTATGAACTCTCAGAGTTTACCCTGTTTTTCTAGAACTAATTCATTAAAACAAAGGAAAATCGGGGTAAAGATTTGACATCCCAACTTAGGTTACATTCCACTTACATGATGAATTGTCAAAACTTATCCCGTTTTCTAGAATTCGTTGAACAAATGGAAAATCAGGGACAGATTGGACATTGCAAGTCATGATATTAACCACTCGTGGAAAGAATTGTCACGATTTACCCCGTTTTTCTAGAGTTATTTGAACAAATCGGGATGAAGATTGGATATGGAAAAGTTATGATATTATCCACTCGTAGGTTGGTTCAGAAAATGGAAAATTTGGGTGAAGATTGGATTTGGCATGTTAGGATATATTCTACTTGCTGGATAAATTGTAAGAATTCAATGGAAAATGGAAAATAGCGGTCAATATTAGATATGTCAAGTTGGAATACATTACATTACGAGCTATTTGATTGTTTTGATTTTCGAATGCGCTTAAGACATGGAAATGCATAGGAATGAACAGATTTACCGCATTTGTAAGTTAGATCGCCGGAATTGCATCCTTTATTCGCGTCAAAGAATGTTGGGATGGGGGTTGGTGTCGGAAGGTTACCCTCGGGCGAAGTCAATAATTTTAGCCGGTACATTGTAGAATCCCTGCACAAAGCCTGGAGATTATGGGACAAATATCTCTGAGTCTGAGGAGATTTTTATCGCTGGAAAAGAGAATGTAGCCTTCCCTATAAAATACTTATCAGTCTGCAAGTTCTGATGCTATGTTTCACCACTGTGATGTTCTGATTGTTGAGACCGGTCTGTATATTACTCACACCCTTGGAATTTAAGTCAATTTAGCGTTAAAAAAAAGTTTGCAGACAACTGGAAATTTTCCCAGAAGTCGCTGTATACACAGATGCATGTGCATATATTGACGGCAAACTATTGATTTATCTTTGCTTGACAAGCAAAGTGTACATCTACGTAGAGGACTACGGGTTCTATGCACCGTCAGATAAAACCTTGTAACAGAATATTTAGAGTCGAGTGCAAAGGAAGCCATTCCAAAAGGATCTCATTCCAGGGAGACATCTGCTCAAAAAGCAGGATGCTTATATGAGAAAAGAAAAGAAAACCAAACTTAAGTAATTCAGATTTAATTAAATTTTTAACAGATGACAATATTAACAAGCATTACTTTCTTGTCACTATTAACATGCATCACGAAAGAGACAATTGAGCAATAACTATTATTCATGCTAATACTAAGTCAAGGCTTTGTCACAGTTTCTTTCTCAAAAAGATATTGCAGAATATATACAGAATATAAAGAGTGATTTTATCCAACCGGTGAAATTGGTCATAAACTACTGTGCATTACAAAATTTTTGGTTTATGTCATGTTTTCCACACACAACATGGGGTGATCCAACAATCAAACATGCGTGCTGGTGTCATACAGGTTTGTTTACATACTGTTTCATGGGTTGAGTAAAATCACTCTAGTTGTTCCTTTTTTAATGTTTCATATAAATTTTGGTCACACTTTTCCTGCTATGATGTCCTTCGTTGATAAAATCATCTTGATAAATAGGCTACACTGTAAGTGTTTGGAACAAATAAACACTTTTTTTGTGTCATTTAAGCAGGAGTGATTGGTGCTAAATATTTTTTCTAACCACATGTGCAAACCGTAATTAATCTAACTCAAAATTCAGGCTTAAATTGCTCATCTAACAAACAAATGGGTAGTTAAAAAAAAAAAACTCCTTCAGTTGTACTTGAACATGCAACACTTCCATGGAAATAAACATCTTCAGTACAAATAATTCAAGTAAATAACTTCAGGTGAAATGGGGATTTTTTGGAATTTGTGAAATATAAAGTAGACTACAGTGCACTAATATATAATGAATCCATTCTATCCTTTAACTCACTTGCAACTATTTGGCTCTAACTGTTCAATACTATTTGACAGATTACAGAAAGTAACTGTTTCTGTCCTTCCAATTTGCCCTTATATACTTTTGAATAAAATAAAGCAGTTGACACCAGATTGAGGAGTCAAGGCTATTTTATACACCCATTCACTCATAATAGTTGGTAAGATTTCTTTTTTATATGGGTTGCTGTAAACGTAAAGATTTTAAATAAATTCTTTGCAATTTAAATGTTTGTGTCATTTTTTAAAATTTTACTGCTCTGGAAATGCACTGGATATAAAACTCTGGAACTAAACAACTCCAAAGGAGGTTTTGTGGACAAATTCATGGGTCTGATGTGAACATGCTTAAGAGGTCACATTCTCTATTGATGTTCTCTGGCCATGTCTAAGTACTATTCACAATTTGGAGCTGGGGAATTTTGGATATAACTTGAAGTAAGCATGCTTCAAAACCCAATTGAAACTGTTAGAGTGAACACATGACCTGTTAGGTGTTTAATTACTAGTATTACACTGTGCCAAATAGCTGTCCTTTACTGATTTTATTTAAAATTACAAAAAGTCTTTCTCCTCAAGTTGCCTCCATTTCCAGTCTCTCCACATTCCATAATGATGCTGTTCTGTAATGCTCAATAAGACCCATCCATCACTATCAACTTGCTTTAAGATACTTGCCACATCTGTGGTCTCCTTGGTCCAAAATTCCAAGGCTCTATCCCACTTGTAATGAAAAATCTTTGTCTCGACCTACCCATCCTTACCTGCCTCCAGTAATCAAAATTTACCATTTCTTCTGTTGTCATCACTGCATGGTAACACCCTCTTGGAACATTTATCCCTTTCTCCTTCCTTAGTTTGAAAAGATATTGCTCGGTGATGGCGTTAAGGCCTTGGAATACCTTCCTTCCTTCCTTCCTTCTTTCAAATAGAGAATCTGTAGGGTTGGAATCTGTGAAGAAAATCAGTCTCCATTAGAAAAGAAACTTTAATGACACTCAGCTGATGAAAGACTGTCTTTACCAAATTGGTATTAAAATGCACATTTGGCCTACTTTCATTGGGTTGGTTGGACTTCTTTGCTAATAATAATATGCTATGAATTAAATTAACTCAAGGGACAATGAAAACAATCGTATCCTTCTGTTAACCCAACAAACCAATTTAGCAATCAAAGAAGGAACATCAATCATTAGATGTATTTATAATAATTTCCCTTAAAATTTATTGCAGACATAGGGCAATAAAAAACATCCAAAACTGGTCATCAAAGGACACATAAAACAAAAGCAATAGTAATTATAATTGTAATAATAGTCATAATAATAATAATAATAATAATAATAATAATAATAATAACAATAACAATAATAATAATATTCCCCTAAACTACTTGGCATGTTACAAGAACATCTCTGCATAGCATAAAATAATGATAATAATAATGATATTCTCCTAAACTACTAAGCATGTTACAAGAACATCCATGCATAGTTTTAAGCAATAATAATAATAATAATAATAATAATAATAATAATAATAAAGTAAGAGAAAACCTAAACAGAAGAAAACTATAAATCACTCACAAATTCTGCATACCTCATAAGAAGCATCTTTGGGAGGCTTGAGGAGCTCAAACAGGACAAAATCTTCATCATCTGGTTCACTGGCTATAAAAAAGCACACAATGCTTTCAGTAGCAAATAAAAAAAACAAAGAAGGTTTATAGAGATAAATAATTATGGAACAATGTAGCAAAAAACTCATCTTACAAAAACAAAAAGACAAAGAGTGAAAATGGTCAACATAATTATTAACTACCTTGAATATTGTTTTCCTTTGACAGCTGTGTCTTTGTCCAGTAGTTGAATGTCTAATGGTGAAAGAGGAGGGGGGAGAACAAATAAATCATCATTCATATCATCATAATCCTCCTCAAAATCTAATTTATACTCACCAGGAAAAGCAACACCAAAACCAGCAGAAACCTCTTCCATGGTTTTTCCAGGACTAAATGGACTCACTCCTGTTTTGCATTTCTTGATTCCATCTTCACCTATTCTTGCACTGCTGTCTTCACCAGCACAATGCACAAAACAGTATCTGCCAGTTTTTCATAAACATATTTCTGGCATCCATTGAAGCTACAATCTACTAAAAAAATATAGTATTTGTGAATAAGTACTAGCTATCTATGATTGCTACCTTTAACATACATTTATTGATTAACCCTTTACACCCTAACATCAGTAGGCATATTCTCCATACCATTCTCTATACATTTCCTGAGCTGTTGACAAGGAGAATTTGTTTAAAAATCAAGAGCTTTATAAGTTGTTGGTCATTTCCTTGATTCATGTGGGATGTGGGGTGATTTTGTAAGGAGAAATTAGAGGCTGGCCACTCACTTTAGCTAGTAAAGCAGATCCTATTTAATGTTCAGAGATGACCTTTCTACAAGTAACTGGAGTTGAGGCAATGGAAGATATTATTGCACGCTCAGTGTATTGTAGCATAGTATTTAAAAGTTTCCTGTTTCTGAATTCCAGCAGTGGATAACTCTTGTATTCCAGCACCGTTATTTTCCAGCCCCTCTCAGCTGTTCTCAGTTTCTCAGCAGGAGTTAACTGTTGTATTCCAGTACTGTTAATTTCCAGCCCCACACAGCTGTTCTGAGATTACCAGCAAGGAATAAATATTCTTTTACAGTACTTACTTGTATTTTCCTGCCCCTGCAAGCTGTTCTGTCTTTTTTGTTTTCCAGCTGGAGGTAACTGTTATTTCTAAGCACAATTATTTTCTGGCCTTTCTAGGCTGATTGGAGTTTTCCTGCTCGAGTTAACTTTTATTTTCTGTAAAACAGAATAATGTACATAAGGACCCAGGCTTGAAGTGAAGAAACCTTCCTTGGAAACCTTGGAAACAAGGCAATAACATTTTTAATTGCTCAGATCAAAACCAAAAAATTTTATTGTTTGTTAAAAACAATGTTATATAATGTTAAATGTTACATAACGTTAAAAATATCAAGGCCAACAGTAATTCTGAACACAAAATTTAATAAATTTGACACCTGTGGAGTATGTAGCATCGCTTATGAATGAGACAAGAATGTGCTTTTAAATTTCCATCATACCTGAATAATGTCTGTGTAAAATTTGAGCTCAAATGTACTATTTTTAACTTATAAATCTACTCCTAGTAAGAGGCCCTGGCAACCTATCTTTACATGTAACTGCCAATAAAATAACCCTGCATCTTCATAAAGATATAAGTAAGCTTTTAAGGCCTTCCTGACATTGTATTAAAGCATGGCCTCACAAACTTTTTCTTTTAGCTCCACCGATAAAAAACATTAGGGAAAGTCAAATAACCAACAAGCACAACTAGTACTTAAATACTAAGTTAGCAATTGACTGAGACACCATTAGCACCACAATAAAAAATACAAGAACCCTCAACTGGCTGAAACTTACATTATTCAGTTACATACTATTCTTCCCACATTTCCTTATAAATTAACCTATATTTAGTGGATACCTCTACAGCACAGACACTAGGGAAGGTTCTAAGAGAGGTTACCTTTGATACTTTTATAACTATAAAAGTAATAGCTTTCACTGCAGTTTAAAGTGATTTAATTTTTGAAATACAGTTAACTTCTTCACTTATCACACAACAGCTGTGCAAAGCATATCAATTGTAAATAACAAATTTGGAGAGTTACAAATTACTTTCAGTACTTTATAGTACAAGTAACATGTTCCTTACCATCATTTTTCTGTGTTTTATTTCCATTTACAGACTCTGTAAGTGGCTGTAACAAAAAAACAAATTCAAACAATTTTACCTCACTTCCTAAAGCAAGAAATCACAAGACTAAACAACAAGTGTAGAAACTTAGACATACTTAGGCTAGAACCCTAGTTCAAAAATAAAAAAAAAACTACCCCCCCCCGCAAAAAAAAATTTACCACTGTCTTTGGTACCATCCTGTTCCTCCCCTATTTCCTTTTTTTTTTTTTTTTTTTACTTTTCTTTTCTATCGACTTTCAAACACATACCATGCTTCTTCTTGATGGGAAGAGGTTCCATAAAAACCCAAATAACCAGAAAGAGTTCTAGCAAGATAGATAACCAAATGAGTAGTGGTATCAAACCAAAGCTTGTAGCAATTCACCGACCTGACTATTGCACCCTATTCTTTTTCCCCAGGTCTATGTGAACTAGATTTTGAGCACAGAATGCAATACCTCACCAAACATCTGCTAGGATGACTCACTTAAAAGTGTGCATGATTATCATCTCTTGCTGAGATAGCACACTACACTTCAATGTTTTTATTACTACACATATGGGGGTTTTGGTAAGATTGTGGAAAGGAGGGACAACATTTGAGCAGCTGGGAGGGACAAAAATGACAGTGTGGCAGCCATTTATTCCCACTTGGATAGCAAAGTCTGGGGAACCTTTCCTGTAAATTTAAAAGTTTGGATGTCCAAAAGGGTCCATTTCAGGCCACTATTTCTCAAGTTGGCTAAAAATTATATCCGCTACAAGGGAGAGTGAGGGAGAGTGTTGACACTGATTTAATGAATGGAGTAGCTTTTACATAACGAACTATATAAACATTATATACATAGTAATGTTGTCTCGTAGATGATGTCTGTGTGGTCTTGTTTGATTTTTACCTTTGCCTTGCTCAAAAATATGAAATTGTGCCCTGGACAACATTAAATTTTGGGGTACAGTGCTGTGATTTCTGACACAGTATATTTAAAGCAATTACTGATGGCAAAGGAATTAATTGGTACTTCATTGATGAATGTAGAGCACAGCAATCAATGTAAACCACCATACCAAAAAACATGGTGACTGGTACATTCACCTAGAACTCTTTGCACAAGAAAATCCTGGAACCACTCAAAAAGTCAAGCAGAAAAAATCTGAAAAATTTAAAATTTGCATACATGATGTTGTTTTGTGAAATATTGCTTTCTACATGTGTCTTACCCTAAGAATAAAGGTAAAATGTACAGGCACCATCTTTGTCTGTAAGTGGATTGAATCTATTGGGTAAACACCAGAAAAAATAATAATATTGATACAAATAGGCTGAGGTTTTAGTATAGGTATGCCGTGGTTTAGTTTTATCCTTAGTTTATTCTTTTACTTTTAAAAGAGGCCAAATTGATAGTAACATATCATCTTACCATAACTTAGGCTAGGAGCTAAATTTTATCTTTCTTTACACAAAATGCATTTTTCATTCATATCATTAACAAAACCAAAGGAATCTGATTTTTACACCAAGGACAAAAATTAAGCACAACAGATACCTTTCATTGGCACTTTTGTTTACTTTGCTTTGCTGCTGGTTCTCATCCATGCCTGTATGAATGATATTAAGTAAGGGTGAAAGGATTGGTATTTTCTTCACAAAGATAGTTGCAAAGAGTGTCTCCATTGATATATGGATTATCAAACACTCACAATGACTGCCAACAAGACCAAGTTCTTACTAACAAGTGTAGGAGCAATAATTGCTAATAATGGGCAATAGTCTGTATTTAATTAAGTATTCATTTCTGCATGAAATAGTATTTATTTCATTTTAATGTTTGTAACACACAATTGAAAAAGTATGTAAAATGTGGTAACAAAATACATATCATTGTGGTATTCCTCATAATTTAGTTCAAGGGGCTTTATTCTAAATAGATAAAAAGAAAGAAAGTGGCATATGTCAGCCACTGATTTAAATAGAATAGCACAGTATTATTAAGTGATGAGTAATTTTGCTGCAAATTTGTGCCCTTCTGGGTGAGCAAAGAGAATGATGACCCAACTGTTACTTGCTTGCGTTAGGAGCCAGCACCCTATCCTATATAAGAGACCAGATCTTCATCATATGTGTAAGCAGTTTGTAAGTTAACTTTCCAGGATATGTGAAGTTTAACATCGACCATACATCCAAGCTGAATTTTTGCGTAGCCCCATATATTTACAATGAATACATGCCTTCCACTGTACCCATAATAGCCACCAGTGTAGACACTATGAGACTGCTACATGCAACATAATACAAATTATTGAGGCTGGAAGAAAATCACAAGTTTTTGATCATTGAAACACCGAGATCTGTCCTGGTTTTTAATCGTGTAATATCTGGTGTTGCATGTCCCGAACAAAATAAAAAAGTCAGTCCTCGACACAGAAGGATTCAATGAATCCAGGTATCACGCAGTTACATGAAATCTACTGGAATTTAGCACAAAACTTGAACGCGATCTTTGAAGAATGGTTGTAATATTTAAAATTTTAAAAAATACTAGCATGAAGTGCAACGAAAACCTTACCTTATTGTATTAGCTTCAACAGAAAAGTAAGGAAAGCCATGAGGCAATGTCAAATTCCCGTCTTCCTAGGCTTTCCAACGTATGGAAGAAAATTTCCCAAATACCTCGCACTTAAAAACGCTACCAGAATCTTGCTCTTTCACCAATCCGAAGCGACCCAAAAGGTGTCAAGGATAGCCCATGAAATTCTCAAACTTCGGGCGCGGAAATCTTAACGATCTTTTTACACTATTGCTTTGCATCCCTCCCCTAGTTGGGAAGTGACACGCAGAAGACACGATCACAACGCACTTTGATTGGAAGAAGTAAAACCGCATTCTATTGGTCATAATGTGTGAGGACATAAATACAACGGAAGACACAACTATTCGAATAGAATTGACCGCATTTCGAGCTCGTTGAACCGAGGTTGGTTTGAAATGGTACTCGAATTAACAAATAGAGGAGCCTTGACTGTGCTCTGTTCTGTTATAAAGCACGCAGGAAGCGGCTAGAGCACGAAAGAAGTGTTGCTTCCCAAAATTGCTTCCCGAACAGAGCACAGTCAAGGCTTCTCTATTTGTTTTATAATAAAGAATCCGTTAAATTACCCAAGCATTACATTCAATTTTCAAAACAAACTTTATTTCCAAAGCGAACAACAGTGTCGTCAGCATGCTCTATACTCTCATAAAGCACGCTACAATAAGCCAATCAGAATCCCTGTTAGAATGGTTAAAATAATCGGATTGGCTGTACAAGACTAAAGTTGTCAAAAGTGTCAAACCATCAAAGTTCAAAAACCATCAAAGTTCACATTCTACGATAGTTTACAAACTAAAATAGTTCGGCAAGTCGAATTTAACACTCACTTTTGCTTGAAGTTTTTAAGTCTCTAATACAGAATCTTGAAGTGAAATGTTCAGTGAACTCCAGACGAATTATGGCTCATAAAAACACGTGAGTTTTTTCATATGACAAAGTAGAAAACAAACTGTTCAAGGCGAGTGCTTGTTGAATGAACGACAGCCGAATTCACCAGAACATGAAGATCGCGCGGGATGACAGCGCCGCAAAACTCGGCTGCAGTGACTGATGTGACTTTCCACTCAACGTATCGGAAAGGATATCAGAGCAAGCTCTTATTTTTTCACTCGAAAGGCGGCCGATGTAGTTCCTGAGGCTTGCTTTATTGTGATGACTGGAGATCGCCATGATGAGCGAGCCGCGATGAACTTCAGCATGATCATATTCGCTCAGACACCGTCATGATTAGTATGAATTTTAACAATTATGCCAGTTTGGTTATATTTTTCATCATTTCTGTTTTGTTCTGTTTTGTTTTTTAACACTGAACTTTATATACTATACGAGTGTTAGCTGTGTTTGATTTTTATTACCGTACGTAAGCTTGCAATCTAACTGAGCGTGAAAATCTTTAAACTCGGAATGTCTATTTTGTTTTTCCTTTGAGGATTTTCGTATCTGCTCACGTTTTAATAACGTAAATCACGGCGCCTGGTATGTTTACAAACGTTTGTTTGGTTCTTCTGTTGCTACTTGCCGGCTCACTTGTTCCGAAATTTCACCTTCAATTATCGGAAAAAAGCTAAAAAGAAGTCTCGGAAAAGGTCGAACATGCGACAATATGGCAGATGGCGTGACAGCTTTAGCTCAGCTCTATGCTCTATACTCTATACTCTCATAAAGCACGCTCTTTCAATCAATGACAGCGCGCGTTATATCCGAACTTTATTATAATTAACAAATAGAGAAGCATTGGCTGTGCTTTGTTCTGTTATAAAGCACGCAGGAAGCGGCTAGAGCACGAAAGAAGTGTAGGGAGAAACACGAGACGTAGTCGAGTGTTTCTTCCCACTTCTTGAGTGCTCTAGCCGCTTCCTAAGTGCTTTATAACAGAACAGAGCACAGTCAAGGCTTCTCTATTTGTTTTATAATAAAGAATCCGTTAAATTACCCAAGCATTACTTTTAATTTTCAAAACAAACTTTATTTCCAAAGCGAACAACAATGTCGTCGTCATGCTCTATACTCTCATAAAGCACGCTACAATAAGCCAATCAGAATCCTTGTTAGAATGGTTAAAATAATCTGATTGGCTGTTCAAGACTAAAGCTGTCAAAAGTGTCAAACCATCAAAGTTCACATTCCACGATAGTTTACAAACTAAAATAGTTCGGCAAGTCGAATTTAACACTTTTGCCTGAAGTTTTTAAGTCTCTAAGACAGAATCTTGAAGTGAAATGTTCAGTGAACTTCAGCCGAATTAGGGCTCATAAAAACACGCGAGTTTTTTCACATGAGAAGGTAGAAAACAAACTGTTCAAGGCGAGTGCTTGTTGAATGAACGACAGCCGAATTCACCGGAACATGAAGATCGCTTGGGATGATAGCGCCGCAAAACTCGGCTGTGGTGACTGATGTGAATTGCCACTCAACGTATCGGAAAGGATATCAGAGCAAGCTCTTATTTTTTCACTCGAAAGGCGGCCGATGTAGTTTCTGAGGCTTGCTTTACTGTGATGACAGGAGATCGCCATGATGAGCAAGCCGCGATGAAATTCAGCATGATCATATTCGCTCAGACACCGTCATGATTAGTATGAATTTTAACAATTATGCCAGTTTGGTTATATTTTTCATCATTTCTGTTTTGTTCTGTTTTGTTTTTGAACACTGAACTTTATATACTATACGAGTGTTAGCTGTGTTTGATTTTTATTACCGTACGTAAGCTTGCAATCTAACTGAGCGTGAAAATCTTTCAAACTCGGAATGTTTATTTTGTTTTTCCTTTGAGGATTTTCGTATCTGCTCATGTTTTAATAACGTAAATTACGGCGCCTGGTATGTTTACAAACGTTTGTTTGGTTCTTCTGTTGCTACTTGCCGGCTCGCTTTAGTTCCGAAATTTCACTTTCAATTATCGGAAAAAAGCTAAAAAGAAGTCCCGGAAAAGCTCGAACACAGTACAATTGGCAGATGGCGTGACAGCTTTAGCTCAGCTCTATGCTCTATACTCTCATAGAGCACGCTCTATCAACCAATGACAGCGCGCGTTATATCCGAACTTTATTATAATTGCTATTCGAGTACGGTGAAGATGAATCGAGCTCGGTTGCCTAGATAGTAAATGTGGTCCCCTCGTTCTCATGCAATCGACCCAGATCATCTGAGGCAGCTGCCATTTTGGAATTAGGTGTATTTACAACTTAACCTCTCATAATAGGAATTGACGTTCCCTGTTACAGCTGTTAACGTAAGAAGCAAAACTCTGCGTGTGCAAGTATCCAATATAAAAAGAAGTAAGTTTCTAAGTAGCTTAGAAGACAACCAACGATCAAGAACGTTCGTATCAAGGAATCGATTAGGGCGGTTACTGACGTGCTGTTTTTTACAAATTCAAACATGGGTTCAAGACTGCTCCACCGTCTTGGTTCTTCAGCAGCCCTGTTTAGTCGAAAAGATTGTTTTTTCTGGACAAACAAACGTCTAATTTCCTGTCTGCAAGAAGGGCAAGTGGTTGTGCGACTTGCAAAAGCAAGTGACTTTGACGAGGTAGTTAAACTGTCTAAGAAACTTAAAGACGCGTTTGACTATGTCCCCTACAGATTTCATAAATGGCTTCTGGAGCCCAACAGAATCTCTTTGGTTGCCGAAAAAGGGACAGAGGTAGTTGGTTTCGCAGAATACTCCGTCGTCGACGGGGAAAAATCAGTGCTTATGGAAGCTGGAAGAATTGATCCTAATCACAGAGGTCATGGTATACTCGGTTTACTAAGGGATTTTACACTTGTGCCTATCCGGGAAAAATTCCCAAAAGTTGTGCGTTCCAGGTACACGGTGTGGTCTGGGGCTTATCAAGCAGTGAGAAAAACGATCCAAAAGCATAACATCTGCGATAAAGAACTGTACCACTATGATTTTTTAACCTACAAAGTTGAGCCAGAACATGTCAGTTTGAAATACAAGTTAGAAAACTGTCCGAAACTTCAACCTTGCCCAAAGGAAGAGTTTAAAAAACGCATTCTGGAAAACGCCAGTACCAGCTCTCTCTTTCCTAATAACATGCTCGTCATTGATTGGCAACCGTTTAAAGCCATCCCAGCCAACTTCAAATCCATCGTACAAGACCAGGATCGATATTTCGTCGATTCGTCAAACGGTCTTGCGAGAACTTTGACATCTTTTAGTTTGGGAAGATTTGTACAGCTTGTTTGTGGCATGGTGTGGACATCGACCATCTACGCTAGGGACGCAAAGCTATGTCAGTCCCACGTGATCCATCAATTGATGAGTGCCCATCAAACTGCAAAAGGAAGTTTTCTATTCAGCACCTTTCAAGATCCATCACTTACAAGGCATTGTGAAGAAGCCCTGACGGACATTCCGGGGGTTACAAAGATGAATGAAGAAGAGTCTACGCAAAAGATGTTTATCTTTGAGGGTGAATTGCAAGATTAAGATAATATAATCGATGAATCGATTGTAGCAGTAGCTAGTTCCATGCTATTTTACGTATGGAGGTTAGGAAATACCTCTCATGTATAAATACCCTTTCTCAATCTCGAAGACCTCTGATTTTCTGCTGGCGTATCTCTAATATCCCTTTTACTGCTTTTATATTGTTATGTTTCCTTGAACAAGTTTGGTTAAATGTTTTGTTTATCATAAATTTATACACAGCTAGGTTTAGATTATCCTTAATTTATTTACCTACCTGTTTATACTCCTGATTTTACCATGTTTCTACAATCGATTTTATGTCCTTGAACATGTTAATTGATACCTCTCGTATGCAGTTTTAAAAGAGACTATTAAACTATTTCAATGTTTATGCCTTATAATTCTCTCACACAGATTTGTACATAACTGGAGTAATCATCGTTCCATATAAATGACGTACCACTTACAGACTTATTAGCATTTTTCATTTCAAGTATTTGTTTTCTAAATCTAATTTGGTAGATTTCAGATCTATCATTCACTTAATGTAGCACAACATCTTCTTTTTTGTCATTTTTCAATCAGTTATTGGTATTTTTATTCTCGGACATTGATTTTAACGCTAGGGCCTGGATGAAGATCGCTCTGTATAATTCTGGTTTACTTGGTCCGAATAAAGTGTTGTTGTTGTTGAGGTTGTTGTTCTTGTTCTTGTCGATAACCTCGGGTCTTTATTGTTGGTTTCGTGCAAAATGGTATTGGAGACTTACATTCCCTCAGTCAATCATAAAAAGCTCATCTTGAACGTAAAAGAGAAGAGCTAATCTCTTCCCTTCCTCTAACATTCGTTTTAGAGAATTATTTTATGCCAGAGAATGTCGGGTTGCGGGCTAAATATCAAAAGGTGGCTTTTGCAATGCCGATGAATATTACAAAGCCAAAGAAAGGAAACAGAAATCACAAAGATTACATTCCTCTTCAAGTTTCCACCACCAAATTTTCGTGTTTATTTCCATGCATCGAAACAAATGGAAATTTTGAGTTAAAGCGGTAAAGCGTACTACGCCTATCGAAAGGCATCAAGGACTTACGACCTGAGCTTTTTTAGTATTATTGAATCTGTTTTCCTGAAATTAAACATGGGCTGTCAAAACAACAATTCGAACACCTTCGCAGAAATGTCGCACATGAACAGCAATGTACTTAATGATCAACTGAAAATCAATCCTCGACTGCCAAAGATAAAACAAGAACTTATGTGCGGGTCCATAATATATAGATTTAGCCAAGCCTAAAAGCGGAGCTCTTGTTAGTTTATTTTCCAGCCCTACGTTACACTGAATAAAAATTGTAATAAAACTCTTCAGCACTGACTGTAAAAGAGTTTCTTCAATGGATTGAAAGACCAGTTCAGGGGGTGGGTAGGTGGGGAAGAATTGACGAAGTCTGGACCTGGGGACGGTGTTCTCACAACTACACACATACTAGTCAGCGGTATCTTCAGACAGCGTACGACCTTCATCGTTGTTCTTGATGTTGTGACCAAATTCTCGAAGATAGGGAATGTTTTTTTTCTTCAGATGAAGTGCATGCTGTCGGCATCAGTTGAAATTATATCCTATTGAGCGTGACTTATAATTTCGGTTTGGAAAAATGAGCCAAAATTGAAAGAAACGACAGTAAACCACTTTGCGTTAAGACATTATAGGTGGATTGAGGTGTACACGTGCAGTGAGCACGGTAAGTCAGTAAAAACAATACGCCAGAATTGCATGAGCTTCTCCTATATCTTCTCTTGAAGTTACCAGGTATGACTGCTTACCCCCACCGTTTTTTCCCAACGTTTCAACCTCCTCTGTTTAGCGTAGAAAATTGAAAAAAAAAGTAATTTTCAACTCATGTTTGAACCTGTGTAATTTTTGAAAACTTTTTCGCTTTTGGCAACTCTTGTTTCATGTTTCATGATTGGGTAAAATTTCCGCACAGCCCCATCCTACATTATGCATTCAGTTCTTGAACAGAGAAAACAATGACAAAAACAATACATTTCCGTTGGGAAAACAGATTTGTTTTATAATAGTATGGGGCTGTGCGGAAACTTTACCCATGATTGTCCTCTGGCTGGAAATAAATGACGTCTTTTTGAGATTTTTTCTGTTATTTAATTTGATAACCTCTGCCGTAACTGCATGTAATGTGGATGTCTTTTAGAAAACTTGAGCTGATACCTGGATTTCATTTTTACATCACAGAAATCAATTCCAAACATCAATCAAGTTTTCTCTTAAGTTTAGAAGTTTAGTTGATGTTGTTATTGGCTATATTAAATAGGTTGAAAAGTTTTAGATGGTATTTTCTTACGTTTGCAAATAATTGAAGTTACTGTCAACATGAAACACATCAATACATTTTATTGATATGTAAAATGTTTTCATCTGAATATCTACTGGAAAGTCTTTGTATTATATTTCAACCCAACCATTTTCCTCAACATATAAACACTATTACAAAATAATTAGTCAGGGAAATGGAAAACTTGTGGCATATAAACCATGTTTGAAATGCCATGTCCATAGTAAGCTAACAGGATTGAGGAGGATGTATGTAGGAATAGGCTCTCTTGTCTGTATCAATAATTTGCTAATCACTCCTGTTGGCAATATTTTGATGAGGTTGGGTTGTCAGGGCAAAGGAACTGAGGATTTTAGTAGGCAGTGACTTTTTTTCAAACCTGGAAACTATCTGATATTGAAAGCCATACTTGTGCCTAGTAACTCACTTCTTATTCTGATAAACTAGTTTTAAGAAGGATACAATATTTCATAACAAAAACTTGATGCATAGGTTGTGCAAAAACTTTAATTTGACTATACTTTTATGGCCAATACCAGTCCCTTCACATAGTAAAATGTTAGGAGGATCAGAGAAAAAATAATGTGCCTTACATCTGCAAGATTCAATGTAATTATTTTAATTACAAGAATATTAACTGATACTAGGAGATCTAATAATATTGAAAAAATAATAAAATTTGGTTGAAAAATTAGAATTCAGCACAGGCTGGATAAACAGAATTCTTAGAAAAAGGAATGTGTACTAATGAAAAAGCTTAGCAAATTTTTTTTACAACACCTGCCTGTACCTATACGGCATGTAGTAAAGTCTTTTGAAGTAGTCATAATCCCAGTTTCATATATTGAAAACGCATGCATATGCAGATTTCCTGTAAACCTATAGTTTAAGCCTGTGATGACTTTGAAATTTTGATGCACAGCTCAAAAGGAGAACAAATAAATTTCATTTTTCTATTTATTCAGTTTAGGTTAGTGAGGTAAAATTGAGTCAAACATTCAAGATGTACAATGACAGGTTCAAGAAATTTTCACAACTAATTTTTATGGTTAGCCTACCTGGAACAATCATCTTGAACTGATGATGCCCAACAGAACTATCCGTGGTAAGAGGGCAGGGTTTCCTTTCTTCATTTAAAGAAATAATGATGTTATCATCTTTCCACAAGCTCAGTGGAAAGTGAGAGTGAATGAGACTGATAGTGTCTTTGTTACTTAAATAAATATCCAGACACGGTCTGCAAAACTCTCTTACTTTAATTTTTTAACCAATTAAGCTAAAGCTTTACATTCTTGCTTTGTGATTATGTGGATGCCAATTACTGGTAATTTAACTTTTATGCATCAAAATACAAAAAAATGTTCTCTTCATCTATGTGCCCTAAACATTACAGGGAAGGAGGCAGGTCAAATTAAAAACATGAATTAAAATAAAAGGGCCCCCATTCATTTCAGTCCTAATTAAAGGAGGATCCTTGTTTTTCCAGATTCCCACTCTTTTAAACTCACATATCTTGTGACCAATTCCTTATTTTAATTTTCAGTTTGGGTAGGGCCATTGGTAAGAAACACCATACATTAATGAAAGCTTGAGCTAGTGAATTTAATGCAATCTAAATAATAATATTAAATGTTACAGTATGGTAACTTACACAGCAAAATTATATAATCACACAATTCCAAATAAAGGTTATTGACTTGCCTGCTTCAACTTTTGAGGGCTTATGGTACAGAGAATAGACATGGTAAACAGCTACAATTAATACAAAGTTGAAAGTTTGAAAGCTAAAAGATATACATGACAATCATGAGACCCTATGCATCCTAGCAAAAGAAGGGTCATTTACCACATCTTCTTCATGCTTATAGGAAATCATTCATTTTTGTCTCTAGGTTGTACTGTATTTACAATAGTTCTGCCAACACAAATGCATTTTTCTAAAGTTATCTCATAGCACATGACTGTACAGGTCAAGTGGAAGGTTCCTGCATGGGGACTAACACAGACAAAATATGAAAACTTCACTTGAAATCTTATTCATACCAGCGTGATCAGAAGAGAACCTTTCCTTCGACCTTAATTTGCATATTAAAAATCCATCAATTTAAAAGAAATAATTCTTGAAATGCAGGTGTAAAAATGCATATCAGTGGATAGTTTATACATCAATGAGGTCACTGCTTGTCTCAAACCCGCGGGTATCTCACTAGATTTTATCCACCAACATCTTGAAAACAACGCAAATCCATGTGTTTTCTCAATTACGCACATGTCAAGCTAAAAGGTCCTTTGCATAATTATGAAAATTGACCAAAATTTCTCTTTGACCGTTCAAACTTCGTTTGTTTATCTTCTACGTAAATTTTTTTAGGTTTTTATAACAACTAGATGGAAAATTAATCCCAAGTTGTCTTAAAACGTTGCATAAACGAGATAAGTCGTAACGCTAGCAGGACCAACAAAGTAAACAAAAGCGATCGAAAGACGTTTCCCTTGAATCAGGTCATGAACCACGCACAGAGTGGAGAAGATCAAAGTTAAAGAACACAACTTGGCACTCTGGTCATTGCATATATACTGCGTAGCTTAAAGGTAAATGGAAACAATACACGTACGTTTCGGTATTATTTACAAAACAATACGTGTACACTCTGCAAGAATTCTTGCAGTTTCGACCAAGGTTTGCATACGAAATGCGATCAACAGGCGTTCCTTTCTGAAAATTTGCCGCCATCATTAAATATTTCATGCTCCTAGAGTCCACAAGGTTGTTTGCGACAGACTTAACCTTTTCCTGCGACCATCAAAATTAGTTGACCTTTCATGCCATGCAACTGTTGGTAACAAAAACAAAGACACAAATTACACTTCTGATAACGAATTTTAGTATCGAAAGTCATGAAATGAAATGAAGCACAGAGTTAGGAATAGCCTTCCTAAATTTCCTGGAAACATGTGCATTCTGTCACCATGTCATTTAGTTTCTTGAGTAAGGTGGCCTTTAAATCTCTGGCTTTGAAAGCAATTTCAAAAAAAGCACACATTTCCCTCAGCGTGGTGACTTTAAACTTCCTTAACGTGTCGTGGTTAACATGATCGCAAATATTGTGTCCATCAAATAATATTGGATGAGTAAGTTCGATTTCGGAAATAACATCTGCTACCTCCTTTGTCCTTACTCTGTGTTCTAGGTAAGCGCTTTCGTCGTCTTCTTCGTCGTTTGCATCCTGCTCTTGATCTTTTGCGGCTCTTCTTCGTTTCGTAGCAGAAAGCCTCGAAAAGTAGCTTTGAACCTGGTTCTTCGTTAGCCATTCACTTCTGATGAATTTTCTTGCACCATCTGCCTCTCTGGCCTTTCTCATTTCTGCTGCAACTTGCGCGGGATCGGCTTTTCTGCCTGTTCTTTCACCGGTTTGAAACCTGCTTGAAAGATACCCTTTCACTTTCTCCGTGAACCTTGTTCCACTGCCTCGCGTTTTCTGAAGAGCCCAGCCCATCTTGCACACTTCACTTTTAACTTTGCCCGTTACTTCGAGTGTTGCTATCTTTGATTCAAGCGTTAGGGAGGAAAATTTCATGGCCCAGTCACGTCTAAGGCTGTCGTAAAGGCTCTCTGAAGCTTCTATCTCGCTGTGCTTCCCGAGGTGCACATGATCTTGGAGTTCTTCTGAAGAAGTTAACTCAGAGCAGCATCCTTGTTCTGGGCAGTGAAACAGCATGTCTTTATTATCGCTCGAAATCTGGCTGAGATTGCGATTCTGTTTTATGGCTCGTGGTGCTATGGCAAAGAAACCATGATTCCCAACTTCCCTTAACACAACAGGGCCATGCTTCTCAAGGATAAGCTCTGACCATGGTATTAATTTGCCCTTTCCGACCCCATAGGCTTTTGAGAGACGAAGACCGTCCTTTTCATAAGCAAAATTGTGAAAAAAGCTGAAATTATTGATGCGCTTAATTTTTACTTCTTTTCTGTTACTATCAATCTCGCAAACAGCAGCTGATGACCCCTTCACTTGTCTCACTTTCAATGCCTCGTGCATGTCAGCAGCTGTCAAAATGTTATGGCCTTCATTGCAGTATCTACGAATTACCCCTTTCATTGGACTGATGATGCGATCGCAAACATCCTTGCCAGATTGAGGTTCAGAAAAATCATACCTTTAGAATAAGGAAAGGAAGTGTCTCAGTTAGAATAACTGATCTATCAATACCTGTCATACTAATACAGATGTTGCTACGTAAGTTCAGTGTATGTTCCTGCCTCTACCAGCACATTCTGTCCATCATGAAAATGTTAAAATGAAAATTATACTTATAACGATTCTAAAGAAGAGGCAACAAAAGGACAACACGGTAAATAGACAAACCTACTTGAATTCTCCCAGGATGCCCTTTGAGAAAGGTAAGCATTCATTCGCTACTTGTACTTTGCATAGAGCAATTATACGTAAACTACTGCGGTTTAACAAAAATGCGTTTTAATTCGCTTTTAAACAGGGGTTCGACAGTATACGATGTTTCAAGGGTTCAGAGGATAATTACATTCCTGCAGTATATTATCAAAAGATTTTGATCTATTTTGTTTGTCTCGGCTCTGAGATACCACTTACTATAATGAACAGAAACAGCATGAAAGTTAAGTTCTGAAGTCGATCAAGCCAAGAGTTCGCATGCTTTTGGAAGGCGCATGCAACTTTGAAGAATGTGTTCGTGTTGTAATCTAAAAAGCATTTTCAACTTACCTCATCACCTTGATTCCAACGCTTGTGCCAACGTTAGAGGCAGCTGCAATTAGATTATTGTTGTGGTAACAGCCTGCGCCATCTGATCGCAAAAATACCTCGTTTACGGTAGGCTTGATCTGTTTGATGTTGCCGAGAAGGTTTTCCAGAATTGCGCAAACCGTATACCAGTCTTGGGCACAGCTTTCGAATAGATGAACATATGACATAATCTCAAGGCCGTTGTCCTCTGCATTCCTCGTAATAACTGAACTAACATGCCAATTTATTCCTCTCTTTCCGAACCACTCAGACTGCTTTTCTCTGTATTTCAGTTGGATGAACTTCATGGCCCAGTCCGTGACAATAAGGGAGGCATTCGTTTGGAGGGACATGAGCAAATTCTGTTTTGCTCTCTCCGGGTTCTTAGTCCTGATGATATGCGCCTTCCATTGAAAAATCGCCTCTCTGGCTTCATCATGGTCGTGTTTCAGGTCCTCTTTCTTCTCTATGTTGTCAAAAGTTTTCGAAGGAGATTCAATTTCTTTTCCAATTGCCTGAATCACGGATTTCAAACTTTCGCAACTATCACAGCTAACTTGATGTTCATGGGAACAACTTCCTTGAAACACGGGGTTTTGAGGATCACTTAAAGAAAAACACACACAATGGTCAGGGCAAGGACTACCATCTTTCTAACAGTGCACCCCATACTCTGTCTTCAGGTATCGCTTGGCATCCTTCAGTGTTCTTCGAACTTCTTCGACATTTTCGTTCTTTTCCGCGTTAATACTCTTCTTTCCTTTTGTAAGAATGTAGACCACTTACAATGTTTCAAGTAATCCACCCACCCTTCAAAAAATAACTCTTGCATGCATAGCGTGCTTATGTTTTGAAGTTTGGTGCATGCCCTTGGCCAGACTTGAGCTTACTATTTCAGTATAATAGTCTGACACTCGTAGTATCACTACACTTGATTCCAAAGATCCAGTACCATCCAGGTATCCCAGTTACCCTGCTCACAGGGTCTAGTTGAAATTAAGTTGACTTCATGTTTTAGTTAAAGAAATGCGCAATATCTCTTTACAAGGATGAAAAGGGAATGCCATTTATGAATTTTGAAATAATAAATGCCAAAAAAAAAAGATGGAATTTAAAAAACTACTAAAACATAGCATATCTCTTCACTGAGGTTTTAATCATTCGCTGTCACACAGAGATATAAAACAGGGTTTCTGAAAAAAACCAGGGCAATAAAATTAAAGACTCAGGAGAAGCATATGAATTTAACTTGTTTACTGATGCTCTCACCTGAATTCCATCTGGAATGAGGACTCTTCAAGACTTCTGTTTTATCTTGAATTCAAACATAAAATTTAATTATTTGCAGGCAGGTTAAGCAGGAAATTAAAGGATGGATACATGTTACATAAAAAGAAACCCCTTTCAATAAAATAAAGCAGAAGCATATTCCCTACATGTCTATGCTTCTGAATACAGCTATAATAGGTATTTTTTAAGTAATTATCTACATATGTTAACCGAGTGCAATATATGATCATAAAAGCAATTTCATTCCAACCTTCCTACTTGAAGGGTGCCTTGTGTATCAAATATATCAAGTTCAGTACCTCCAGAGTCTCAAGCCGGGCTTTTGGGGCTACAAAATAATAAAATAATCAGCGAGTTATGTCAGACCAATTTATCGAGAGATTATTAAGTATAGTTTCCTACAATCGTATGAAAGTTTAAAATATGCTTCACTTGTGCTATATATACGGATTTGTCGTTCTTAATTACTTATGAAATTCCGAGGGTGTGACTCAATTACTCCAAGAGAGAATATCCAAGCAGGTTACAGAAACGGTTCGCGAATTGTAAACTGTTAATATGTGGACAAAATTTCCCTAAATTATGGTGCCGATACGAATCTATCATTCATAATCGCTTATGAAATTCCGAGACTAAACCTCAATGAATTTAACAGAAAATATCCTGGGAGGTTACAGAAACAGACTCTCAAAAACTGCTCTTGAATTCGAAAACTGTAAACAACAATTATTTACGCGAACCATGTGCTTACCAGCGCGCTTGTGATGTCAAATTGCCAGAACCCCGTTTAATTGCACGATCACAGCTCGGACACTTCTTGCAAAATGTGATGCCACCAATTTTAGAGATAAATTCTTCAGTTTCCAGCATAAGTAAAAAAATATCGTATCGTAAGCATGTTCATCATAACGCCTCGAAATGTTGAGCGAAGAGAAAGTGGCTCTATGTTTTGTGACACAAACCATTTCCTGAAGTTTGAACTGTTTCAAGATCCGTTTAATCAACTATTCCGTAGCATACAGCGTTGTAAGACAATACAGATGTAACTCGATCTCAGTCTAGTTAAACATTGATGGTGCATGTAATCACGTGCATATTGTAACATCCTCCTTTTTTTGTGAAAGAAAAGCTTGAAAAAAGAGAAAAAGAAAGAAAGAAAGAAAAAATTAACTAATAAAAGTGTCAATGTCAGTTCAGTTCAGAATCAATGCCATAGGAAAAAATCTATCAGTTGGTGAGTTCGACATGAGAGGATCGGTAAACGAGAACACTGAACCCCATGACAACCGCAACGAAGGATTTAAAGTCACGAGTCTGGTCACGGATATAGTCCTTGAGGTATGCTGGGCTCCTCCTGACTCGCTCTGAACTCCGACATTGTTCCGGGACAGTCACCTCTTCAGGGTGTGGCTCATGAGGAGCATTGCTCTGGTCAGGGTAGACGCTGCGGTTGTGGTCGCCTGTTCATCTGCGCTGGCCATATCCGGTTCTGGCGCTGTGATGGTGGGTTCAACTGGTGGTTCAGACGTTTTCCGCAGGTGCTGTCGGTTTCTGCGGTAGTTTGCTCCGTTGTCCGTCTCAACGGTGTATGATCGCTCATCGAGTCTTGCAGTGACTTTGGCCTTGCGCCAAGACTTGTCGTCAAGTTTGAATGGCTTCATTCTAACAACATCGCCTTCAGACAAACTGGGTAGATCCTTTGCGGACCGGTTGTAGTACTTGGCTTGGGCCTGCTGGCGCTGTCGCAGCTCTTTCTTTTCCACTTCCAGGTTTATGGTCCTGGGTAGTAGTAGGCTCTGAGTGGTAAGAAGGAGTGTTTTGGTCCTTCGGCTCATCAGACGTTGTGCTGGGCTGGTCGTCATCCCTTGTGTCGGCGTGTTTCAATAGTCGAGTACGGCGAGGTATGGGTCGGTTCCAGCCCTGATTGATTTCTTCAGAATACGCTTGACTGTCTTCACCCCAGACTCGGCCTTGCCATTGGCTTTGCTATTTCCAGGGCTACTGGTAAAGTGCTCAAAATCCCATTTTCTGGAGAATTCAGCGAATTCGTCAGCTGTAAACTGTGGCCCATTGTCACTGATCACTTGATCAAGTATACCGTAGCGAGCAAAGTGACTCTTTAGCTTCAGAATGGTGGTGCTGGCTTTAGTGTTCGGCAACCTGTCCACCTCCCAGAAATTGCTATAGTAGTCTATGGTGACCAGGTAGTACTTGCCATCAAGAGTAAAGACGTCTGTGGCGATCTTCTCCCAAGAACGGGATGGGACCTCGTGGGACATTAGTGTCTCCTTTGGGTATGTGGTGCTGTCGAATTCTCTACATATTTCACAGGCGGAGATATGGTGCTTCATTTCCGCAGACATGCCTCGCCAGTGATACATTCACAGGCACGCCTCAGACACGCCTCTATTCCATGGTGGGACGAGTGAATCTTCAGCTTCATATCTGCGCGAAGGCTCTTTGGTATCACGAAGGAATTCCCTTTGAAAACCAGCCCATCTTGTACGGTCAGTTCGTCGCGTACGCTGAAGTAAGGGCGTGTCAGTGCTGGAGCATACTCCTTCTTCTCAGGCCATCCTACGAGAATAGTACCTGACAACTCACGCAGACACTGGTCCTTCCGGGTCTCTGCTCTTATTTCGTCTAAACGTTGGTCAGATATGGGCAGATAACGTACTCCATGTCGCTGTCATCGGATGGATTCATCTCTCAAGTTGTACACTTTTCTGGTCGGAGTGGCGCAGGTTGTTGCGAAGTGATTTCTGCCACCGCACTTCGGACTTTTTCCCGCCCCACGCTAGACACTTTCCTTTTTCGAAAGGATGTGCTTTGCTACAAAATTTACAGGTCTTCGTCTTCCCCGCGCGGCTTTTTTTAGACTTGTCATCACGGCGGCTTGAAGGCAGGTATTTATCTTGCACAGCGTGAACATCTTCGTTCTGGGCGCCCGAGATCGTTTTCAATTGCAAATTTGTTGCCTCAGGACTCTTGCAAAGATCGATACACTTCGCCAGGGTGAGACTCCGTTCTTGTAGAAGCTGTTTGCGAGTGCGGTGATCTTAAATGCCCAGGACGACCCTGTCGCGAATGATCGAATCACGCATGCAGTCACAAAAATTACATGTTTTCGCTAGTGTGCGAAGGGCGGTGACATAAGCATCAATGCTTTCGTTTTCCTGTTGATTTCTGGAGTTCAAAGTGTACCTTTCAAAGGTTTCGTTCAGTTCGCCGATGGTGAATTCGTCGAACTTTTGTATTATCATTGCTAGGTCATGTCTATCGTCTGGATTGTCGAATATTGGAAGCTGTTAAAAATCTTTAACGCATCAACACCGATACAGTGGAGAAACAATGGGACTTTGTACGCCGGCGGTTTCAGCTCGAGTTGAGCAATGACCATGTGGTTGCCCCACATTCGTTTTCATACTTTCCAGTTGTCCGCCACATACCTAGTCATAACTAGTTTTCCAGGAGGCATTATCCCGGCCATCGCGCCAAAAGGCGGGTGTTGCACAACTCCCAGGTGTGCTACTGTCTGGCGCTGTTTCTGAGTCGGACATCACTACACCAAGATGATTTCAACTGTTTTCGACTCCGTAAGTGGTAGGCAGAAGATTCGTTATCCTATTTCGCTGCCACCATGTTTCAAGATCCGTTTAATCAACCATTCCGTAGCATACAGCGTTGTAAGACAATACAGATGTAACTCGATCTCAGTCTAGTTAAACATTGATGGTGCATGTAATCACGTGCATATTGTAACACGAACGAATCGAGTAGAAAGCATGAAAACATAGCGCTGAAAAGTACGACAACCAAACGGTTAAATTTACTCATTCCGCTGTAGAACCATCTCCGTTTTACCCGTGAGTTTGTTTGCACCACACACAGTTGCGGTCCGTAATTTGATTCTCAGATGTAAACATAAACATCGCTGACTCAATCCCATTTTATTTTAATTTTGGGAAAGGCCATTACTTCGTTCTTAGGGTAAAACAGCACATCTTCGGCAAAGCGCAAATTTTTCGAATGAATAGAGTAAATCCTGCGATAATTAACTGAAGAGAAAAAAAAATAGGAACTTGCGCTCGCCGTTCGACATCATTTGAAAACTTTCTAGGAAAAACAAAATACGTAAGATAACTTCTTTTCCCATTACACCACGACTGTATTAAACTTTCAAACGAAAGGACAAGAAATAACTTGAAGAATACGAACACTATGCAATATTATTCGAGCGATGAACTGGCGTAAGAGTTTTTAGGCGATGAATGCCAGAGTCAATGTTTAACCGTAACGTGATCAGTTGAATTAAAAACTGAAGCTAGTATCAAACGACGATGGGTAAAAAAACCTAATGCCTAACCGTGTGCCCGCATTACACTACACTGTAGCTCGACGTTCGAGTATGCGCACTTTATCGTCATCTGGCTATGTCTCTTGGCGCACACTAATGGGGTATCCAAGTTACGCACGCAATCGTGCCTGCGCATTACCTTCTCCCTCGCCCTTCCATTACGTAATGGCTAAGATAGTGGCCACAGACGGTCATACGGTCGTACGGTCGTACGGTCGTACGGTCGCACGGTCGTACAACCAATTTTTTTCGGCTTGATGGGTTAAAAATTTTTTTTTTTTTTCTTTGAAAACTTACCCCCTTCATGGCTGCAGAAAATGGTCATTTTCTTTGACCATCAATTCTCATAGTTACATGTATAGATTTGTCATAACACTTCAATTGAAAATCAATCTTAAGATTTTGCTCGTTCACTTGTCAGGTTAGTAGAACAAAGGAGCCATTTTCCTTTACATAGTCGTGTGGGTGACATTGCTGTCCGCTCAGAAGACCACGCATACATCAGCATGTATCTTTTTAAATGCGCAGATATGGAAAGGTCTGTGCAAAAGCGAGAACATTTGATAGGACAACTGCCTGACCCACAAATGGAACATAAAAATCACGCGTATGAACGCTACTAAACTTGAACCCAAAGATATCATCAAGGGCCGGAATTTAATACATTGATTGTAAAGGGACAGCTGCCCACAGATTCTTTTGTTAGCGCTTTGTCACTAAAATCATTGATAAACAAAATAATTAACTAGAGCGGTTCCAAGTCTATTTTAAATTAGTCCCAGTAGGTTTCTGTGAAGTATGCGATTGGCTTAAGGCTTAATGTAAACAGAGGTTTTAAAAAATTATGGAAATTTCCTATTCTGCATACGTGAAATCGTGTCATAAGGGTAAATTGCTTATGAAAGTTATCTGAAGAACCTAGTACCTTGCTTAACGACAGACTTACGTCTCTTCGCGCCCAGATGTTGAAAGCGGAAAGGTCGTCCATTGCTCAAGTAAATTCAAGGTTCGAACAAAATCCACACAATATCTTGGAGACAAAATCAAAAAATCTCCTAAGAATTTTAATCCCGTGTAATTTTAAAGGTACTGAATTGCAGACAGCCTTCGATCAAAAGGAACACAGAAAAGCTGCGTTAGTATCGCCCTACAGAAAGCAACACAATGATCATCTGCTGAGTAAGCTGTCGCCTTATTTCAGGAATTGCGTCTCCCATGATCTACTTAGAGCTAAATTGTCTTCACAGGACAAATTACCATCTCTTTGCTACTCCTGCAACAAGGCGCTGGATGGTCGTCACGAGAAGACAATTTCTTTTAACAGAATAAAGCTCAAAAGAAGAACTTTTCCAGCCATTACAGGCGATGAAGACCATAAAGAAGACATGCGTGAGCAATTAACGACCAGCAGTCCGTGGAAAAGCAATAACAGGGAATATCAACAGACCTATAAAAATGCAACAAGTTTTACTCCTTTTCAACGATTCAAGAAAGCTCAGTCTTTTGTGGAATTTAACGAACCGATATATACTCGTTCGCCATCATTCATTCTTCCAGATGTGATCAAAATTACTCCACAGAAAAAGACAACTACTCGCCAGAAAAATAAAAAGGTGTATGATGTTGGTATTGCTCCTCCTCCAACTCCAAATGTTAGGTACATACGTGATTTATCGCCCGAGGTGCGAAATCTTTGTGTCTTGGCTCTGGGCTAGGTCCGCCAATCAAGAGCCATCGAATCCTTGAAAAGCTGAGTTGATTATTGGATGCAAATGTAGAACCCATGATTTCGTACCAGAATAACAATTAAAAAGATCACCACAACCGTTTACTGAGGAAAAAGAGTGCTGTATGCATGAGTAAAACACTGCGAAATATTTTAGCCGAAGCAAAAGATTTTGACCAAGTTTAGTGACAAAAAATACGAAAGAGGGTCGAATTATCAAGACAAGCTTCAACTGGGCTATGAAATTCAAGAGTTTGCTCTTAGTTATTTGTGTGTGACCATTGCAGCACAGAACTCAACTAATGACAGCGAACTAAACCAAGCTGGAGCACCAAGCAGTGAAGAATATTTTAACTAATGCAGCGACCTTATCCAATGGAAACCAACATTTCTTGTTGGCTCGGATTGAGGTCAGTTTACAGACAAAAAGATTATCTTATTGATTGAGGTCTAGGTCAGGGCTTTTCGATTTTTGTTTGGAGGGCTCGGTTGTTTGAAAGGCGGTTAGCAATAATCCTGGATTAAAAGTTCATGATTTCTCTTGAAATAAAGTGTTTATTGGGGTTACGTTTTGAGAGGTTTTATCTAAGCGTCAAGGAAACTGGAGGAAAAAAATAAAACAATTAAAAATGTCTACAAAGCTACAAAACTAATTAAAAATTGTTGCTAGGGCTAACCTCCGGTTTGATAATCGTGCTTTGAACGACGCGACTCAGGAATTTTAAAACATGAATCGTGAAGAAAAAAATCCAAATATCCTATTTGATACTTAATGCCACAGAACTAGGGGGTAATTTGATAACAGAACTTCACATATCAATCAAAGTTAAAAGAAATAATTTCATGGCAAGCTTAAGTTTTTATTGGCTAATAAAAATTTTTTTGTTGGAGGAATGTATCACAGGAAATCAGTTGAAAAATCCATAATCCGTTTGCGCATGAAAAGGCCATTAAATTACATCGAAAAAACGAGAGCGTGAAAAATTGATCCACCCGGCAAAGAACTCTGTCGATGAACAAGATTTAAGCGTTAACTGTGAGCACTTGGCTGAATATTATTTGACTTTTATCATTTACCCCAAGAGCAGTGTGCATTCGCAAAAAAGAATTACCGAGACTTGAGTTTTGATTTAAACAATGGACCCTTCTCGCTAACGACCGACGATGTGCACGGAGTATTTATTTTCAACGGGTCATAAGCAAATAAGAAATGAAATGAAGTAATCGTAAACAAGCCTAACACTCTTAGCTTTGTTTTCATGTGGTAG